GAAATAGATTTAATATATACATTTAGATATAGATATAGATTTAACATATATATTTGACATTTACGATTAAATACGAGAAAAATGCACTAAATGTGAAGAAAGTGCACTGATTTTTTTCTTCTTTTAAAATTTACACTTGGCACCTCATACAAGAGACATATTTGGGGTTTTGACTCAACGAAAGGTAAAAGTCAGCTCTGTTTGGAGATACTGAGTTTAAAAGGATCACAGAAACTTGGACTTTATATAACTGAACTGGCATTTTGAGAAGCACAGTTGCCAGTCAAATCAAATCAAGTGTCTGTTTGTGTATTTTTTTACCCMATTTAGGTCAATTGAAATACTTCTAATCAGAACATTTGCTGAAGAGGAGACAAGAAAACAGAATGGACTCCATCTCCATGGGTTGCAGCAGGAGCCCCGTGTTCCTCACGGCAACTTCCTCCCACCACCTCCGTCCCAGTCAGACCTGCTTGCTGCACAACGGAGGGAGGATCACCGCCGCAGAATCAAGACCTTCCTGTCAGATGCCCGCTCAGCCYACGCTGGCTATCCTGGGCTCAGGTGACTTCTCCAAGTGCCTGACCGTTCGCCTGCTCCGCTGCGGCTTCAAGGTGGTGGTGGGCAGCCGCCATCCCAAACTGGCAGYCAACTCATTTCCTCACGTGGTGGATGTCACGCACTACGAGGACGCTGTGGGGAAGGCTAATATTGTCTTCCTGGCGATCCGCCGGGAGCACTACTCCGCTCTGTGGGATCTGAAGCATCTCATGGAAGGTACTCGGCTTTTCTACCACACAGAACCTTCATCTTCAAAACAAGACATACGTAAACCTTTTTTTTAAATTGTTTTTGTCTACAAACCTCAAGTTTTAGATTTTCTGACATGAAATAAATAAAATAAATAAAAAACAGCCAGTCCAAACAACATTACTGTACATGTTTTTACAGAAAAGTTCCTAATTAATTTGTTTACTTATTGCAGGGAAGATTCTTGTTGATGTGAGCAACAACCGCAGAGCTAACCAGTATCCAGAGTCTAACGCCGAGTATCTGGCTGCACTGCTGCCAAACTCTGTTGTGGTCAAAGGTTTCAATGTGATCTCAGCTTGGACCATGCAGCAGAGTTGCCCCAAAGATGCCAGCACACAGGTACAAACAAACCTTATGTTGGAAACTTGTAACCGGTTTCTAATGAAAGCAGACCTGGACCTTTGACCCCTTCAGACAAGGAATCCAATGGTTTTCTCAAACGGTGGAAGGATTTAACAAACGTATTTTAGGTCTAGTTGTCACTTGACAATGCTGCGACAAATAAAATAAGAAACCTGACTTCAAGATGATAAAAGAAGTCGAAGGTGCCTGCTGATGATCTGCCAACAATCACGCCCACACAGTGAGGGACTCCCTGCCATGAAGACACACTGACACTAGAGTAGAACCAAACAGACATGAAAGAAGAGGCTCTTGTTTCCTGTTTTTGGTGTATTTTCATGGCAGTGTTATAATTACGCATACTGTCCTAGCGATAAGTTATTGCAACATTTTATGTTGTTTTCTGTGTTTACAAAAAACATTACTGTGTGGACCAGGCCTAACACCATCATTGAACCTATCTTTTTTTTTTTTTTTTAATTTATAGTGTAAATCAGTGACGCAGAGGAAATTGTGTGAAACTTTCTGCTCAAACTGTTCCCTCTAACCAAGTGGTCATGTCTCTGACCCTGCCTCTGACAGGTCTTTATCTGCAGCGACTCAGTGGAGGCTAGACATCTCGTCATGGAATTAGCCCGCCAGCTCAACTTTCAACCCGTGGACATGGGCTCTCTGTCCTCTTCTCGTGACATTGAAAACATCCCGATACGATTATTCCCTGGTTGGAAGGGCCCGGTCCTCGCCGCTGTGGCCCTTTCCATCTTCTTTTTCGCTTATGCTTTTGTACGAGATATAATCCACCCATACGTGAAACACAAGCAGAATGACTTCTACAAGATCCCCATTGAGCTGGTGAATCGGACTCTGCCCAGTGTTGCCATCACTCTCCTGGCCCTGGTGTACCTGCCAGGCCAGCTGGCGGCCGCCCACCAGCTCTACTATGGTACCAAGTACAAGCATTTCCCCCAGTGGCTGGAGGAGTGGCTTCAGAGCAGGAAACAGTTGGGTCTGATCAGCTTTTTCTTGAATGCTGTCCACGTTCTCTAYAGCCTATGTCTGCCCCTTCGAAGGTCTGAGAGGTACCTGCTGCTCAACACCGCCTCTCAACAGGTCAGTTGGAAAAAACGCTAATGTGAAGTCTAAGGGCAGAGGTGAAAATAAATGTAAATTTTGCTACATTTAACTTGAAACATGTTTAAGACAATAATGTCTTTACCTTTTCCTGGTTTTATACTACTAACTCTATGAAACACAGAGGATTAATTTCTACAGAGCCTGTCCAGTGACATTGGATAAAAAAATAATAATGTGTGGCCACACAATATTGTCTCTCTATTATGACTGTGAGAAAATAACACGTGACCACGAGATGAATAACGCATGGCCACGAGATAAATAAAACACCACAAGATAGTTGATTCGTGCCCATGCATTATTATCTCATGGCCATTTATTAACTATCTCATGGCCATGCATTAACTATATTGTGGCCATGCATTAACAAGTCACATGTTATTATCTCATGGCCATGCATTAACAAGTCACATGTTATCTCATGGCCATGCATTAACTATATTGTGGCCATGCATTAACAAGTCACGTGTTATTATTTCATGGCCATGCATTAACTACCTTGTGGCCATGCATTAACACGTCATGTTATTATCTCATGGCCATGCATTAACTATCTCCTGGCCATGCATTAACACGTCATGTTATTATCTCATGGCCATGCATTAACAAGTCACGTGTTATTATTTCATGGCCATGCATTAATACGTCATGTTATTATTTCATGGCCATACATTAACTATCTTGTGGCCATGCATTAACTAGCCACATGTTATTATCTCAAGGCCTTGAGACAAATATTGCATGGCCACGAGCTAAATAACATGTTACCACTAAATAAATAACACATGACCACAAGATAACAACTCATGGCCATGCGTTATTTATTTTTTTATCCAATGAGATCAAATGGACTCTTTACATTCCAGAGTACAAAGCGAATCCTTTTTTTTCCAGACAGGTAGCCGTGTCAAAAGGATGTTTTATTTTTGCTGACAGACTGACAAACGGACAAACTGACACTTACATTGATKGTGGTAGGTGATAAAAATGAGCCAAATGCAACCATGGCAATGGCAGATGAAAGAAAATAAAGTCCTACTTGATTAAATTTATCAAAGGTATGAAATGTTGCGGTTGAACAATATGGTGTATAACAGGTTACCCAACCGGCTTGGAAAATGTATGTAGATAAACAGACAAACATAAAGAATGAAAAACTTGACGAACAAAAGGAGAAAATAGAAGTGGACGCTTTGACATTTGAGGCAAAAATCAAATGTTGTTACTGTACCCTATGTGGTTAGTATAGATACAAAAACTGATTGGTGGAATGAGTGGATGGATCTAGGCTAAAAAACACAGAAGGATGCAACAATCATCGGTCTCTTCAGTTGTATTCAGTAAATCCAATGATAGCTGAATTGTTCTAATTAATAAAGTTTTGTAGAGAAAAGTGAAACTTTTTTTCAAATTTGTGTTTCCAGATCTCAATTTGTATATCTCAAAGCACCTGCTTGCACATTTATGTTGCTGAAAAAAACGGTTGCGCACAAAATCAGCCGGCTGTTTATGCCGGTTAATCTGTTCCCATATCACACAAATGGGCTAAAACTGTAATAAATGATTCACCCCCCTGCGTCAACAGGCCCATGCTAATGTGGAAAGCTCGTGGAACGAAGAGGAAGTGTGGAGGGTGGAGATGTACGTTTCCTTTGGGATCATGAGTTTTGGGCTCATGTCTCTCCTGGCCGTTACCTCCATTCCTTCAATCAGCAGCACTCTCAACTGGAGGGAATTCAGCTTCATCCAGGTAAACACCAAAAACACTTGTTCATGTACACTCTAGAATTTGTTTACATAYGGTGGCACACAGTCTCATTCAGAACTTTGACCCATCTTTAAGGCTGTATACAATCAGTTGTTTGTTTTTTCTTCAATGTCATGGAAGTCAAAAGAAAATTACTTTACAAAACTTTTAAATCCACTTTGTGAAACATTTATTGTTTTTTTTATCTTATTGCACCAAACGTAAGGTAGTCTAGTTGTAAGATTTGAAATTCTCCCTTTGTTTTTTGCATTCGGTGAAGAATAGTTAAGACCAAGATTGATGAGATTTGGACATAAGAACCCATTCTTGCACTATAATTATCACATTGTGTTGAGAAACCAGAGATCCTTTTCCTTTAAAATGATCTTGTTTTTTGAGATAACAGAAAAGCTCATTTGTGATCCATTCTCAGTCTTGTAGGCTGAGATTTTATTATTAATATTTAAGAATGTTATTCACAAAGTGTATCAAGTACCTGTGACCTCATGTGCTTACAATTTAAACACAAGCACACATTTTACAGAATCGTTACAGATGCAGTATTCATTCCTGAATTTATCACCTCTGTTTCCTTCTAGTCTACTCTGGGCTACATTGCCCTCCTGATAGCCACCCTCCATGGTTTGCTGTTTGGCTGGAAACGGGCCTTTGAGGAGGAGGCCTACCGCTTCTACCTGCCCCCCAGCTTTGTGGTCTCCCTGGCTCTGCCGGTGTGCGTCATACTGGGGAAGGTAGTAATGTTGCTCCCCTGCGTGGCCTACAAGCTCCACCAGATCCGAAAAGGACTGGACAGTAATCTGTATAAGTGCCAACGCCTGGAGCCGGTGGGATCAGCTGCCAACGTTTCACCGGAGAGAGTCACCATCATGTGATCAGTTCGCTCTGACAGCCGGATTAGGATCACATTCTGCTTGGCTAGTTTGATGTGAAACAACACAATGTCATTGTAGTTTTAATGACCTGTTTGACTTTGCTAAGTGTGAGACGTTTTGCTGACACGTGTCCTGTGTTCGTGTGTACTTATTGCTGTGAAGGTAGAACCTCTCTTACCTGGGCTGTGACTGTTGGTGAACGGCGTTTACGAACGTTCCAGGTGGTTCTCAGTTTTCTTGAGTGAGTCAAAGAGGAGCATTGTACTGTAGTCAAAATTTCACACTCATCTCTTGAACCCACCTAGATGATGTGGGTTCTCCGGCCCGTCTCAAGAACACTAGATCTGTGTTTTTACACCTGCAGAGAGAACTCCTCTGACTGAACCCATGTGCACATCTGATGACAACTGGAACAGTGGTCCAAATCTGCCTTTTATCAGTGTGCTCCAAAAGACTAGAGTAGCTGCCAAGGTGGGTACAAAGCAGGTTGATGTTTAAAAAAACGAATGTGCACAGAATGAAGATTTGCAAGTCGGTCACACACACACACACAAAGGGCCAAAGCAAGCTTGCTGGTCACAAACACTCAGAATCCAGTCAAGCAATACAAATTTACATATTTCCACACATTTGTGTCACTGTAACAGCCACAGCCCAGTGAGACACCACCTTTAGTAAACGGTCTGTGAAAACAAACTTACAGCTGTTAAAACTCAGTGTTGTCTCCTGCCAGTCAATTACAATGATTTGTTCTGTGTTTTGTAAGGTCTATGTTCTTGTGATCTTAACATTTAGGAAAAGCCTCCTTTTACGTAGACCCTGCTGCATAACGAAATGCAGAGCAACAGTTTTTACAGTACTGACTAGTCAGGAACCACTGGTCACTCAGGTGTGTGTGTGGCCCAGATATATATATATTTTTTTCTCTATGGCAATTTGCTGAGGATCATGTTTCTTGGTTATTCTCTCATTTACTTACATGAGCAGAGACTACAGTGTAGAATTGCATCGTGAGAATTCTGGATATCTATTTAAGCAGTTGAAATGCGCACAACATTTTGCTGGCAGAGTGGTAATCGGGGTGGCCAAACTTTTTTTTTATAACGGCCATGGCAACTCTGGACTCAGCCCCTGGTGAAACGTCAATCAGAATGGATGCAGTGGAGGTCTTCAGAGGTCCCAACAGGCTCCTTGTTAGAATGTGATGTGGTTCATTACGACGTCCATGAAGAAGTTGTGGTGGCAGCATTCCAGGTCCAGGGTGGTAAATGGCAGTAAACATGATGTTGGGGGGTCATTGCACATGCAGGAAAAAGTATTGTCCCAATTTCATGCATGCATGGATTTGTAGTTATTTTACTCAAACCTTGAAAAACATTTAGTCAGATGTCATTTATCATTGAGGGATGTTGCTGAGCTATACAATCACACCAAATTTAGCTCAATTTCTAAAATAAACTGCATATATATACACATATATATAATGTGTGTGTGTGTGTGGATATCTAGTTAATTGTAGATGTCCATAACTTTTGAGTTTCTTTAAAAATCCATCCAGTGGTTCATTAGATATTTTGCTAACAGACAGGAAGCAGACATGCCTTTGGGTGATTGGACCCAGCTGATCAGTGTCTGTGAAACCCAGAACATTTTGAATTATAAGTCTCCACAAGGTTCCACMAAAAAACAACCAAATACAGAAATATTTAAAAAGTAATTTTAATGAAAAACATTTCCCTTTAAATTACATTTCATAAAACTGCATCTCTAAACAACTCAGAATAAGATTCACCTGCAACTCCTAAAAACGACACCAGGATCAGAACCCAGAGTTCTGTGAAGCTGGAACTAAAAGTTCTGAATTTAAAGAAAACCATTAAAGTCTCCAGAATCAAGCCCGAGGTGTAGACCTGATCAAAGTTCAGAAGGTCCTGGATCAGGTCTATGAGCGGATCTGATCCAGGAGGTTCAGCAGGTCCTGGATCAGGTCTATGAGCGGATCTGATCCAGGAGGTTCAGCAGGTCCTGGGCGCTCGGTCTGCAGCGAGCCTCTGCGCCCCAGCAGCGACCCAGCAGAGCAGCACACCTCTGCCCCTGGTCCGTGCGGAACACCGGGTGGTCCCGGACCGACGGCCGCAGGTGGTGCGCCACCACTGCGTACTGCACGTGCTGCCGGTCTCCGGTGTAGGGGGGCTCCCTGGTCAGCAGCTGCCACAGCGTGATCCCGAAGGAGAAGATGTCCGCCTTGGAGGAGACCTGCTGGCCCCGGAGCAGCTCCGGGGCCCGGTGCGTGTAGGTCCCGCAGACGTGGCTCAGGTGGGGGCTGATGGAGCTCATCTCACAGTCCCGGTCCACTTTGACGGAACAGCCAAAATCAGCGATTTTGCAGACGTCAGCCGAGGAGAGGAGGACGTTGGCGGGTTTGATGTCCAGGTGGACCAGACTGTGGGAGTGGAGGAACCTCAGACCCGTCGCGATGTCTGTGGAGTACCTGAACCAGCGGCTCTCCTCCAGCGGCTCCGGACTCTCGTAGATGACCTGCTGCAGGTTCCAGCTCCCCACGAACTCCATCAGAACCACTCCGATGCAGCCCTCGTCTTCGAAGTCCGCCGGCACGCACGTGGTGGCCGCGAGCACGCGCACGATGTTCTCGTGCTGCAGGTGCGCGGCGTTCAGCTCGGCCCAGAAACTCTGCCGGGACGCCAGCTGGTTCTTGGAGCTCTTCTTGACCCTCTTCAGGGCCACGGTCTCTCCGAGGTACTCCGCCCGGTACACGGAGCCGAAACCCCCGGAGCCCACGGGCTTCACGGAGCGCAGCTGGTCCCAGTGGACCACCGAGGCCCAGGAGCGGCTGAAGACCTTGCCTTGCAGCCGGGGCGTGGGGACCTGTAGGGTGGAGCCGTAGGCCAGCGGGCTGCTGCACGTGGTGAGATCCAAAGACGGGTACAGCTCCTTGGGCAGCAGGCGCGTGACAGGGATCGGCGACGGCATGGTGACTGAGGAACAGGTGAGTTCAGGTGAGCAAATGACTTCACACGCGAGGCATGACGGGTTKGAAGCAATGCATGCTGGTTATCAGTGTATATTTTTAAATTTCTATCTCTAATATATGCTTCAAATATCCTGAAAGCGTTTAATCACCACCTTTCATGCCAAAGTTTTGACCAATTTCCAATAAAGTTGAGAAATTAGACAAGAACCATGAACCATTCTCTGTAGTTAGGGTATATCTTTGACCTATACAAAACATGTTCATTTGATTTAATTCACAAAATGAATCTCAGATGGTGAGATTTCACCTTTTCAGTTCTACCTGTTCTGAGCTCCCTGTTTATGCAAMTTAGGGTTGGGCAATATTGGCAAAAAATTAATCACGATTAATTGGCATGTTTAGCCGATAATGATTAACTTGACAATTAATCACCTGGAGTCCCTTATGTCTTAGTCACACGACCATTTTAGGGGGAAAGATTTGCTCTTCTTAAAAATCTGTTCCAAATTGTGTCAAAATTACAGACTTCAAGCTATACATCAAATTTTAAATTGTGTTGATGGATAAATAAATTACATAAAATTTTTTTTAAAAATGTTTGTCTTATTGGAAGTGGAGAGGAGCACCGAGCAGACTGACTGGTGCCATTAATCGTGTTAATCATCAAGAGCCAAAAAAGAATCGATTATTGTTTTTCTGACGATTAATTGCACAAAATAWGATTATGCCCAACCCTAATGCAAGTAAGCTGCAAATAAGCCCTCCCAACCTTTGTTTACATTAGCTCTGCCCTCCCAACACAGCATACATGAGAATGGCTACAAGCAGATGCACAGTGATACAACAGTAGTAGACAGGCTGCGTGCAGTGCAGCCACCCACAGGCAAGGGCTTTTGAGGGGACAGAATAGAGCGTCCGACCGAAGCCAGACGCCTTGGTGCCGGGGAGGCCAWCGCACGTTCTCCGCCACTTTCCGAAGCCGGTGAAGATGAACCAAGGGGCGGTCAAGCAGCCTGGAGGCTCCCGTGTCATGAGACGAGCACTGTGGCTCGGGAGTCTTCAGTCCTCCAGCACAATTTCTCCCTGAAGAACAAGGTCGTCCTGTGAAGAAGTGGGCGGAGTCTCCACTTGGGGTACCAGGTTAGGGGCTGGGCTCACCTTGGCGTTGCTAGCTTACCCGGATTGTGAAGTAACAAGCCGCAGGTTTTTGAAACAGCTTATTTGCTGAAACTAACAAAACACTTACATACTGTTGAAAATCAGTATTATTTTTGGCTCTTGGACTGTTTCTGGAAGCAGAACAGACTCAAATTGAAGCATAAAAACATGTAAAAAGGTGGAATTTTGCATAATAGGTCCACTTTAAATTCAGTCCTGAAGCTCATAACAACATATTTTGCTATCAGACAGTCTTGACTCTAAATTGGCAAAAATTGAAACAAAAATTTTGCATAATGTGTATTTTGACGAGGATCTCTCTGTAGCACTGACATTTTATCTCAAAGTGAGTTACTGACATTTTAAAACAGCATTTTTAAAACTCAAAGACCACTGTGAACCAGTCTGGACTTCAGGACCAACGGCATAACTTTAAGTTTACCATTGGGTTATGCTCTCCGCCTATTTATTTGTTTCATGCTGATCTTTCCGTCCGTCCATTTTCTGCCACTTATCCGGGGTAGGGTTGCGGGGGCAGCAGCCTAAGCAAAGAGACCCAGACTTCCCTTTCCCCAGCCACTTGGGCCAGCTCATCCGGGGGAACCCCAAGGTGTTCTCAGGCCAGCTGAGAAACATAGTCCCTCCAGTGTGTCCTGGGTCTTCCTCTGGGCCTCCTCCCAGTGGGACATGCCCGGAACACCTCACCAGGGAGGTGTCCAGGAGGCATCCTAACCATATGCCCGAGCCACCTCAACTGGCTCCTGTAGACGTGGAGGAGCAACAGCTCTACTCTGAGTCCCTCCTGGATGACTGAGCTTCTCACCCTATCTCTAAGGGAGAGCCCAGACACCCTGCAGAGGAAACTCATTTCAGCCGCTTGTATCCATGATCTCATTCTTTCGGTCACTACCCAAAGCTCGTGACCATAGATGAGGGTAGGAATGAAGACCGACCGGTAAACCGAGGGCTTTACCTTCTGCCTCAGCTCCCGCTTCACCACGACAGACCAGTACAACGCCTGCATCACTGCAGACGCAGCACCAATACACCTGTCGATCTCCTGCTCCATTCTTCCCTCATTCTTGAACAAGACCCCGAAATACTTAAATTCCTCCACTTGGGGCAGGACCTTTTCCCCGACCAGGAAGCGGCACACTACCGGTTTCCGGCTCAAGACCATGGTCTCGGATTTGGAGGCACTTACCCTCATCCCGGCCGCTTCACACTCTGCTGCGAACCGCTCCAGTGCGAGCTGGAGATCACGATCTGAGAAGCCAAGAGAACCACGTCATCCGCAAAAAGCAGAGATGTGATCCTAAGGTCACCAAAACGGATCCCCTCAACACCTTGGCTGCGCCTAGAAATTCTGTCCTTAAAAGTTATGAACAGAATCGATGACAAAGGTCAACCTTGGCGGAGTCCAACTCTCACGGAAACGAGTCCGACCTACTACCGGCAATGCGGACCAAACTCTGGCACCGGTCAAACAGGGACCTAACAGCCCGTATCAATGGGCCTGGTACCCCATACTCCCGGAGTACCCCCCACAGGAGTCCCCGAAGGACACGGTCGAACACCTTTTCCAAGTCCACAAAACACATGTAGACTGGTTGGGCGAACTCCCAAARGAGAAAAGACCTGATCATCTCTGTAAATCAGTCTGGACTTCAGAATGACTAAAAGATCTGATCATCTCTGTGATTTTGTCTGGAAATTAGGACAACAAAAAGACCGGTTCACATTTGTGGACCAGTCTAGATTTCAGGACGACTAGTATACACAATCACCTYTGTGAGCTAGACTTCAGGTAAGTTAAAAGACCTGATCACCACTAGTGTGGRCTAATAGATCTTAGAGATCCACTCTGGAGGGCACATCAACAGAGTGTCTCGTAGGTCATTAAGGAATAAATATCAGAGATTTTTCCGGGAGTCACTTGGAAGAATTAGCAGAGCCAGAATTTTAAAGTTTACCAAGAACATTAAACCCTTATTGGTGTTAAACAGTAATTAAATTTAACCACCTCTGAAAAGAGAAGAAACAATTATGGTTTTCTTGTTGTTTCTGTATGTGTCTGTAATTTTAGTAAAATATCTCCTATTCCACGGCAATGATAATAATGAAACTTTTAAAAGAATCAGTGGTTGAACATCTAGGACTGGATACGTTTTGAAGTCGACCTAATTTAAAATGGCTGCCACAGCAAAGTGTGGCAGTAGCTGACGGTCATCCTAAATATATAAGGGTAAAACCTTTTTAGGTTTGACCAATTTTCTACTTCACTGTAATTTMTCAACATAAGATGATCAAACTTTAAAACTGTGACCATGAGGGCAGCGGGCAATATACAGTTAAAGTAATGGTAGCCTTTAATTTAGAGGAAAATGTCATGTTTTTTCTTTTTTCTTTTTTTTTTTGTAGAGTTTGAAAAAAAAACATGTCGGCCTTTGTGTTTACACACGGTTTTCGTCATAAACTTACGCTCAGTTTCGTGTAGGGCCCCTGGGTGTTGGAGAGCTTTATAATCTACTCTGTTAAAAATGGCAAAACCCTCCACACAGACTTACAAGCAGAAGAATAGTTAGGAGGTAGAGGGTTTTGTATGTGTGTATGTGTG